AGAGCCTGACTGCACAACCGTTGTAGCACAACCAGACAGGGTTATGCAAAGCTCACTCTTGCATTCATTTGTTAGTCACCAAGCCCTACAACTCTATTATGACCTACAACTTGTCTCTTCTCCCACCACAGACGCCCCAACTTTGCATTTACGTTGGGTTCTCTTACGTTGGAACAACAGGATATATATCATTCACTTCCGCCCTCTGCCGACTTAACCGGATTACTTACTCTGTATTCTTTGCAGTACTACAAGTGCCCTCGAGCCTAATCAAGGTCCTGCCTGTGTTTATCGGCATCTTCACGTCGAGTTTCCCACGCCTTTCTTTCGTGGCTACTGGCAGAGGTTTCCTACCTCTGCTTTGCCCATATTCCCCGAAATGGCGGACCAAAGTATCATCCGCATCACCAAGGTTTGTTGTTCGTTCAGATCACGCTTGCGCCAAGGGGAAAATACTGACCGCTCCGCTCCCTCGTTCCAGGAGATTAGTGAGATTCAGAAAAACACCGACCTATGTAAGAAGACCACCCAAGCGCCGTTTGAGCCTCCTGGACGGTGAGCAGGAGACACCCGGGGTCGCATGATTCTGATTTGTGTGCTGTCTCGCTAGCTCTGGCCGTTGCTTTCCGCGACCGTGATGTGCGTAACGTCAAGGCCCTGATTATTGGGACCCACGACACCCCTTACGAATATGGTTTCTTCGAGGTTTGTCTTGACGCTAAATCGCCTCCGTACATGGACAAGCCCACGGTCACTAACCAGCTGCCTCTGGGATTCAGTTTTCCTTCAAGTTCAACAAGGGTAAGTTGCTTGAGCCCTTTGGACCTCTCAACTGTGACGAGATTTTCCATCTGATGCCGTTACGTGTCTGAAGAATACCCTGGGAAATCACCGTCCGTAACGTGTACAACTACAAACCGCGGCCGTTGCCGCTTCAACCCGAACATATATTCTTCTGGCAAGGTTTGCTTGTGAGACTCCATCACCCTTTCGCCTTTCAGTTTGACGCAACTAACATGGACTTTGCCAGGTCGATCTTGGGGTATTGACGGCTTCTCACCGCCCCCTCTTGGTGAGCCCTATGTTAACCTGACGACAGTACATGGCGGGGTGAACGAGGGGAGGAATGGTCTGCTGCTCAGGGCCTAGAGTCGATCCTGCTCTCAATACAGAGCCTCATGTCTTCCAACCCCTACGAGAACGAGCCGGGCTTTGAAGATTCGAAAGACCCCGCAGCGCAGAAAGAGAAGCAACAGTACATCGACAAGGTACTGATAACCGTACGTCCGCCTGAGATGCGCTAACATAGCTAATGTCGTGGCTGTAGATCCGTCATGAGACATTGCGCATATCTGTGATTCAGAAACTGGAGGATCTCCTTGGGCTTGGCCCACTCAAGGATGCAGCTGCAGGATCGGCAGGTGCTGCTGCGGGTAGTGCGGAAGCTGTCAGTGCTCAGACGCAAGGAGACGTCATAGTCCTTAACGAGCACATGTCTGATGAGGAGGATATGGGCACAATCTGGGAGCCGTTCCGAGACCTGTGCAAGCGTCGATTTTTGTGGTATTTCCATACCTATCTGGAGACAATCCAGAAGGCAAAGAAAGAGATCGGCGATGACCAGCGGTTCGTTCTCATGCCATTTGAATCAAACTCGAATGGGATGCATGGGAAGTTCAATTATACGGAACTGGAGAGGCGCCTACTACGGATCAAGACCACTCTCGATGCAGAGGCGGACAAGTGGGCTGCTGAAGGTTCGAGTTCCAAGAACAAGGATCACACCGTGGCAGTCAACCTTGCCCGCCAATTGGAGCAGGTCAAAGAGTTTTTCAAGCGAAGTGATATCCCTCACAATATCGAGCTCGTGGATGGTAACCCGTTTGTGTGGTTGTTGACCTACTTTGGGCGTCCGATGACAAACTTTGACGGCGGCATGTTCAAGATCAAGATCAGCTTCAGCCCTCGCTTCCCGGAGGAGCAGCCACGAGTCAGGTTCCTGACCAAGGTCTTTCATCATAGGGTGACGCCTGATGGTCTTCTCTGTTACGTCCTGAGCCTGAACCGCCACGAAGATGTTCGGCACCATATCGAGGCCATCTTCAGCGCTCTAGAGGAGGAAAGTCCTCCTTACGACCCCAGGACCCAGGTCCATCCAGAGGCGTACCGTCTCTATTGGGGTGGCAGCGAGGGTCGGAGAATGTACAACCGGAGACTGCGCAGATCTGTGCAGGAAAGCATGGAGGACTTTTAACCTGGCCCGTTCAATGGGTACCAGGCTGGTCTGGTGTTGGAAGTGGTGCCTACGATGGACCATGGTTTTTCAACTGGCAATTCCAACGGTGTATGTCTTCATTCAAAGCACGGCGTCCGGTGGAAAGGCAGGTCAAGCAGGCTACAAGGTCTCACATCACCGAGGGCTTTTCTTTCTTCACCCCCCACGAATTGCCGTCAAGGTGTGAAACGCGGGCATTGCTTGAAGGGATCAAGGGGGATGTAACAATCGTGCACACTTATACTAGCATACTACCCATCTTCACAGTGCTTTTCCATAGAACCCCAGAATGATACTCTTAAGGCTCTCCTCCCATGTCTGCTGGCTCGGTAGATATGAAATCTAGTTCCCCAGAATTCACTCGTACTTTGGTCTTATTCTTCAGCAACGATTATTCACGAGATCCTCACGACCTACACATGTCTGCCAGCCTTTGGTCTCACTCGCGTGATGTTAGGTAGTATGTAGTAGGTACAATGCTACACATTCATTATACATCGTTCTATTTAGTTCATCTATTTCATTCATTCAGTCATCAAAATTCATTCCCTTTTTCCTTCCTTTCCCTTTGCTCCCTCCCTCTTTTCCCTAGGTGCGACGCACAACCGACCGACCAACCAACCAGCAGAGGCGAGGTGAATAATACAAGGTGAAATTTCTTTCTTTTTTTACCTTCTCGACCCTGTCCTGGACTTATTCCCTTTACCACTTGCTCTTGACCCACCACCACCACCACTAGTACTACTACTGGTACTAGTACTACCGACACTCGCCCTATCCAGGCCGGGGTGATAAGGCGCAGCGACGCCTCTGTAGAGCTCTCCCCTTCTTCCATCTTCTTCCCCCTTGAACTCGTACCGCCCGTCCGAGGTGACAATGGCGGGGACGCCCTGGGACGGGCGCGCGACCTGTTCGGCGTGCAGCCTGTCGAGGGACTCGCCCACAACGGCGTACTGGGACCAGTTGATGGGCGGGCAGCGGACGACGGACTGGGGTTTGGGGATGGGTGTCGAGGACCAGATGGGTGTGGGGGGGATTGGTTGTTTTTGTTTTTGTTTTTGCTTTTGCTTTTGCTTTTGTTTCGAGGATAGAAGAGATGATGCCCCGCCTTCTGCGTCGTCGCGAGTTTCTGTTTCTTCTTCTTCCATCTCACTGTCATCATCACTACTACTTTCAGAAGAAGAAGAAGAAGGAGGAGGTTGATGGTTAGAAGAAGAAGAAGAAACGATAATGCCACCAGCATCAAACGAGCCTGCTCCTCCCTCGCTGCGCACCTTCCCAGCGACCAGGTCCCGGACAAAGGCCTCCGGGTCGGCGACGGCGGCGTCCTTGACGCGGCTCAGGGCCACCATGTCACGCTCGGCGCGGCGGCGCTGCATCAGCAGGATGGACATGGCGGAGCGCAGGGCAAGCACGTCCGGGTTCGTGTCGAAGTCTATGATGGGCACGGGAGCGGGCGGCGGGACGGACGTCGCGTCGGCGTGGGAGGTGTGCGTGTATGTCGGGCGGGTGTTGAAGTTCGGTGGTGGTGGTGGTGGTGGCTGTATTGGTTGTGGTTGGGGTTGTGGTTGTGGGAAAACGGTCGGTTTTAAAGGAGGCGTTATGGGACTATACGGCGGACGAGTCGGGGAAGAGGCGCGGGAGGTGGAGGAGGGAGCGGTGGCGGTGGCGGTCGTGGTGGCGGCGGTGGTGTTTTTCTTGTTGAGTCTGGAGGACGGAGCCACGGCCCTGGCTTTTGGTCTGCTGTTCGTCGTCGTCGTAGCTGAACTTTGTGTTTTCTTCTGAGGGGCTTGGCGATGCTGTTGATGGTGGAGTGTGGATGTAGAGGCGGATGCGGATGCGGATGCGGTTGCGTAGGGCATCGGTATCGGGACTGGGATCGGCGTTCTGGACTGAATCATGGGTCGCGTCGGTGTTCCGCTGGTGGTGGTAGTAGTAGCAGTAGTAGTAGTATTATTCGCCGCCGTTGTACGGTTCGGTGGAAGATGCGCCGACGATGACGACGACGAGGCCGCAGCCTCGGTGTTGGCTGCCGCCAGCCCTGCCATCGCCAACGAAATGTGCGCCGGGCGACCTCGGGATGGGTACGGTAGGTATTTACAGTAGATAGTCGGACCCCTCGTAGACTGATGTGGGGATGAGACTATCGATCGCGATATGGGTCTTTTTGATCGATCATCGACGGGCGACCGCCGCCGGGGCGCTTGGTGGCTAGACCTTTTGTTGGGCCCTTTGGCGAGTCAGTTCGGACCAGCACGAGCATATATGGACTCTGGAGCCTCTATGTGAGACAGTAGTTGCTGTATCACCATGCAGCGAAAGCCGAGGGGTAGTAACAGCTCTATGCGAGCCTGCAAATGGTTATCTTTGTTGCAACAACATCGACGGGCTAGAACTGACATGATGCTTTTATTAGTAACTAGACTAGGTACAACTACCCTTATTAAGGCTTAGGCAGTAGCAGTAGATCAGCGGGGCAACTAACCCATTGCGTGAGCCCAGGCCTACATGTACATAGTACCTTCCTTGTGAATGTTTAGAATCGACCCCACATCACCGCTTTACTAGAATTGGACAACATTCGCCTAGTCGAGGTAGGTTAAGCTTATCTTATTCCGAGGGCCACAATTATGCCGAAATCTTCCTTCATTTTGAGATATATATCTTTGGAAGCCCCCTGCCCTTCAACAATTGGTCAAGATGTTTCTCTTCCGAGTTCTTCTCCGGGCTTGTGGTTTAGTGGTATAATACTCCCTTAGCATCTTCGCATCTCCTGCGATGAAACTTGGGAGTGGTCCGGGGTTCGATTCCCCGCGAGTCCAATATTGGGTGGTTAGATTCCACTTATATACCTATCTTTTTCTCCTTTTTCTCTCATTTTTTGGCGATTGTCCATTTTGTGCACATGGCTTTTTTGTGTAGAATTTTCTACATGCCTCGATGGCGTCCCTTTATCGGGCTCCTACTAGACTACTTGTTGCCATTTTGCATTAGTTATCTGCGGAGCTGAGCTCCTCGCACTCGCTTGGATAAAAGATGACAACAGCTCCGATAAAGCCGCATGGACGAGCAAGTCACGGGCTGCCGATACCGCCATCTGGGGACTTTTAAGACCAAAACCTCTTTAGGTACGCAGGAGCTGCTTCTTCACAAGAATTGTGACGAGGCTGGTTGTGTCTATCCCGGGCCCCGTAGCATGTCATGAACATGGAGCCCAGCCCAGATGACTGTGAGTGGTCCAGGGACGGGGTGTCCATATGACCCCGTGGATAGGCTCGCGTCGGAGAGAATCGAGCGGCCGTACCCTGTCGTCTCGTGAGTATGGATATGAGTCTGTAAGGGACAAGTTTCTGGGACTTCTGGTGTTGATGGCCTCGAAACGGAGCAGAGGGACAATGAAGAGGCCAGCGTGAAATGACCAACGTTCATTTCCATCCCGGTAAGTCCAACTAACCGTTGCCCTATGACGGGACAACAACCACCCATCTTCAAGTTACTCAGGAAAACGTGTTACAATCCCGTCAAATATCGCACCATCCGCCGGGTGAATAAGATGGTTATTCTGCTCCTATATCTACATCAGCGTGGGCGCGAAGTCCATCCCAACATGTGCGAACAGTCAGTCAGCCACCAGCTATCCGCTTAGTAACACGTCCCTTCGTATTCACAATGGACAAACACTTAAGCGGAAGGTATAAGAGTCACATGAAGTAGACTCATTGACATGATCCCGTTCGTCACACGAGACATGTCCGTCAGTTATGTTTGGTTGAAGCCCCCTCGCTTCACAGACATACGAAGGCCTCCATTGCCGATTTCCTGAAAGTTGAGATGAACTTTCCCTTTCCCCGGGCTATCCTTGGTGGATGTCTTTTTATTTATACCGCGCGAGCAACTGGCATGGCGTTCCTTGTCCCGGATCGATTACTCCGCACTTACACGGAGGGTGTTGAAATCTTGAGAATCTGCCATTTTTAATGTTTTTTTATAAAGTCAACCCAGCCCCATTATACCTTATCTAGACTCTCAAGTCGCTATCTGCCCTCAACTTGAAGCAGTGGCATATCAGACGCAGTGTCACGATGTTCCGGTTCACCGAGTTAGCATGCAGCGACACTCCCGCCCTCGGGACAACAGTATCAATAGCGCCCAAGGATATCAATACCAATGATGTCGGTATGGAGCCCGCATGCCACTGATGCGTAAACAAGAAGTATTGATCTGAGGATATCATGAAGTCTCTATCAGGTCCGGAGCAAGCACCATCGCATACGACACCATGAGCTATTATACGGGGAACATCACGAACACCCCTGAGGTATGTGGCGCGAGGTTGGGCTTCCATGGCAGGACGGAGTCATCTGACAGGGGGGGGTACGACATAGACAATTGGCATATTCCCCCAACCATACTGTAAGTCACTTGCCGGCAAAGAGAAGATGGACGCAGTGGACTCTAACCTTTTACGCACATAGACTGGTGGCAAGCGGGTGCCTGTTGGGGCGCAATGCTGGACTATTCGCACTACACAGGGGATACCAGCTACGATGACGTAACGAGGCAGGCGTTGCTGAGCCAGGTCGGGCCTCAGTTTGACTACATGGTCCCTCTGTACCACGGGTCGGAGGGTAACGACGATCAGCTCTTCTGGGGCTTCGCCGTCTTAGAGGCAGCCGAGCGCAACTTCGCCCAGCCCGACGACTCGATCCCGCCCTGGCTGACCTTGGCAGAGAACATATGGAACAGCGTAGCTGCGAGATGGGACGACACGTCGTGCGGCGGCGGCCTGCGGTGGCAGATCTTCGCCGACAACGTCAACGGCCTCGACTACAAGAACTCGGTGTCCAACGGCGGCCTCTTCCAGATGTCTGCCCGCCTGGCCCGCGCGACAGGCAACGAGACGTACGTCCACTGGGCCGAGAAGGTGTGGGACTGGTCTGCGGCCATCGGCCTCGTGGACAAAGACTTCAACGTCTTCGACGGCGCGAGCTCGAAGCAGGAGTGCAAGGAGATCAACACGGCCCGCTTCTCGTACTCGCAGGGCATATACATGTACGGCGCTGCCGTGTTGTTCAACTTCACGGACGGAGACGCGACGTGGGGGAGCCGGACGGAGGGCCTGTTGGCGCAGGCTTCGAAGTCGTACTTTAGCCCCTTTAGCAATGCCACGGACGTCATGTACGAGCGCGCGTGCGAGACGTGGGGTGTCTGCAACACGGACCAGAAGTCTTTTAAAGGCTACCTGGCCCGGTTCATGGGTGCGACGGCGCTGATGATGCCGTCGACGCTCGGGGACGTCAAGCGCCTGCTCGAGGCGTCTGCGATAGGGGCCGCGAGGGCTTGTTCTTGTCCTCATGGTTCAAGCAGCGGCCAGGGACAGGACGACGATAGCGCGTGTGGGCAGAAGTGGTATATCGATGCCTGCGATGGGAGCACGGGGCTGGGCCAACAGATGTCTGCGCTCGAGACGGTGCAGGCTCTTCTGGCGTTCACTGCCCGGCCACCATTTAAAGCGGGTGAGATCAAGCATGTTGGCTCAGTGGCGACACCAAGTACAACGGAGACCACTCTACCTCCTTCGAGTACGCCTAGCTCTGGTGTCAACACTCTCAGGTGGAGTTTTGCTGCTCTTCTGGCGGTACTTCTCATACCATAATCTCTCCAGATGTCAGGAATATCCATTTAACCTAATAGACAACTCGGGATCAAGTATCAATGTATTCGATAGAGGTAGCAGGAGATCCAAGAGAACATCAAGATTCATCGTTGTTGACACGCAAAGTGAACAACCTTGACCTTATACCTAATAGATACAGCAATTCCGCGAATCAATGCTCTGTACATGCATTATATCTCTTAAATGGTTGCGCGAGCTCTCTAACCTTAGTCTAGTTCCGATCGGAGCCCCACGTAGATTTGTGATGTGCCATTGGCAACCTCTGACTCAGTAATATCGGGTTGAGAGGTCCATTAGTGAGTCTTATATCTTGCATAGGATCACAGGTATAATACCAATTGCTTGTCTAATACCTCTCATTTCAAGCGGTGATACGTCAAAGTCACAATGCCGGCGTTCAACCTCGAGACCTGTGCAAGGTCCAACATCTTGGCACTCCAACCTTATAGATGCGCGAGAGAGTATGTGCCTTGCCCCTAATTTCTAGAGCTCACGAAGAGACCAGGTTTGACACGTGATATGATATAGCGACTACAAGGATGACGGCACCAACATATTACTAGACGCAAACGAGAACGCCTACGGGCCCTCGTTATCGCCGGCCGACATCTCGGCCTCGAAATCGGCAGGAGCTGAGATGGATTATGCGGGGCTTCACAGATACCCGGATCCGCACCAGCGGGAGCTGAAGCAGCTGCTCTGCAACCTCCGGAACACGCACCACCACACGGACAAGGCGATCACGCCGGACAACCTGTTCGTGGGCGTGGGCAGCGACGAGGCCATCGACGGCCTGATGCGGTGCTTCTGCGTGCCCGGCCGCGACAAGATCCTGGTGTGCCCGCCCACGTACGGCATGTACTCGGTCTCGGCGCAGGTCAACGACGTGGGCATCGTGCGCGTGCCCCTCCTGCCCGCGCCGGGCTTCGGGCTCGACGTGCCCCGGATCAAAGACGCGCTCTCGGGCGACAGCTCCATCAAGCTCGTCTACGCCTGCTCGCCGGGGAACCCGACGGGCGCGCCGCTGGCCAAGGAGGACATACGCGCGCTGCTGGAGCACCCGACGTGGAACGGCGTGGTGGTGGTGGACGAGGCGTACGTCGACTTCTCGCCCGAGGGCGCCTCGCTCGCCGAGTGGGTGGCCGAGTGGCCCAACCTGGCCGTCATGCAGACGTCGTCGAAAGGGTTCGGCATGGCGGGCATCCGCATGGGCTCGCTGTTCACGTCGCGGCCGATCGCGACGCTGCTGAACAGCATGAAGGCGCCGTACAACATCCCGAGCCCGACGAGCGCGCTCGCGCTCCGCGCCTTCGCGCCCGAGGGCCTCGCCGTCATGCGCGCCAATAGGGAGAGGATCGTGGCGCAGCGCGACCGCCTCGTGCGCGAGCTGCCCCGCATCAGGGGCGTCGGGCGGCTGCGCGGCGGCGTGGAGAGCAACTTCCTGCTGTACGAAATGCTGAACGCGCAAGGGGAGCCCGACAACGCCACCGCGCTCGCCGTGTATGAGGCCCTGGCCGAGGATAAGGGGGTGGTGGTCCGGTTCAGGGGTAAGGAGCACGGCTGTCTCGGATGTCTGCGCATCACAGTCGGTACCGAGGCAGAGGTCACGCGGTTCCTGGACGCGCTGGAGAAGACGCTCGCTTCTGTTAACGGACATGCACTCCCGACTGGAGAGGACGAGGAGAGGAAGGAGGTGGATGCTAATGCTGTCGTTGCTTAACATAGACAGACCATAGACCTGGGCGAGACGCAAAAAGTTATAGACATGGTGTACGTGTAGACTGATCTCCGTTTCTCGGCTTTCTCTCATATAACATTATCAAATTTCTATGCTTCCACGATGTATCTTGCCCTTCATGAACACCTACATCTCCTCGTCGATGACTGGAACTCATGCCAAGCATCACGAGATGATCTCGATTCAGGCATAAAGTGGGATATAAGGATTTTCTGACGTCGTGCCCCGCCCCCACCATGTTTTTTTCGGCATCTTCAACATGGACCAGATGTTACCACTCAGTGCACTCACTCTTTGAGATAGCTCAGATCAAGTGAAACTGTCGACATTGGTGATTCTTTTCTCACCAAGAAAATACTTACTTCAGGGGCTCATACTCATTCGTCTCACTGTTAACCTTAGAGATA